ATGGTGCTGGTTAACTTGACTCTATGTCTCTTTAAGGCCTTTTGAAACACTTAAGATAATTGTTGAAAGTAAGACCCACTTCCTGCCTGTTTCTCTTATGAGCAAATGAGATGTACAATCAAACAATTGAAAGTCAGAGGAAATCTGCTAGAAGCCCGCCTGTCAAAGAAAAGAAAGAATTTTCTTTTACAATTTCTATGTTACCTGCCTTTATGCTTGTGACGTGCAAGGCATTATGGCAGATTTTCGGCCAGATAAAGGACTTAAGTCCATAGTTAGTGCAGTTAAACCCACTGAAAGGCACTGCCACAAGCAGGCAACGGGTATGGAGGCAGCTTGGTGGCTTGCTCCTGACAGCACTCTTGTGCATTCCTGTCTTGATAAACCACCGTTGCTGTGTTTGCTTTTTCTGAGTACAAGGCAGTGTTTTGATGGAGGCCTGTGCATAGCAAATCCAAAGTGAGTTAGAACGTTCAGTAGAGCTGATTCATTAAGAGCCATTCACTGAGTGCCCACAACATGCTAGCCTTTGAGTTAACTATTCTGCGGAACTGCGGTTAATCTGCATATTTTTCCTGAATATTTAAGCCTTGTTTTCCCTCTTAAATTTGCTGTTCCCCTTCAAAAGATGTTGGTAGTTAAGTGTTCCAAACAGAAAGGTTGAGGCAGGTTTGGTGGCACATACCTTTATTCCTAGCATTTGGAAGGCAGAGGTGGGTGGATCTTGTCTACTTACCATGTTTCAGGACATTGGGGTTATGTAGAGACTCTGTATCAAAAAGCCAAAACTGAAACCAAGTAGTTCCAATAAGCATGCTAAGAATTTTAAGACAGGAGCTGGGGAGATAGCTTAGTTGGTACAGTGTTTGCCGTGCAATCCATCCTGAAGCCTAGATTTGGATCCCCAGCACCCATATAAAAGCCAGGCATGGCGGTGAGTGTGCATCTTTACCCCAGCAACAGCAGTGGGAGATGCTTGGTGGAGAAAGAAGGGTCATCAGGCAACCAGCTAGAGCAATCAATGAGCACCGGGTTTAGCTAGAGACTGTCCTCAAACACTAACAGGAAAAGTTACACAGGAAGACTGTTGAAGTCAGTCTCTAGCTTTCACATGCATCTGTGTGCAAGAACATGTACCACATACACATGTATGTGCACAGTCAAATTAGCAAGCATGTATACTTCCTACACAAAGAATGTTTAAGTACCGACTTATTGAACAAGAAATACATACATGCACACTTGTACATGTATGCTCATGTGGGCCAGTTTAGAATGGAGAAAGAAAGAACAGTTAGATGCCAATCTGCAGATTTATCTAGTTTATCGGGTTTAGGCCTTAACATTTGGATGATGGGAGTTCACTGTCTGTGTTGGTGAGAATATCCTCATTATACTCTCCCTTCAGCTTCCCAGCATGCTCTGTTTCAGTTCTCACTCTTTTAATGGCTTCCCCTGATGCCCCGCTCACTGCCCTTCTCCGTTTCTTCCTGTTCGGTCTGAGAAAATGGGGAAGTTTTCAGATAAATCTATTTTCGTATTTCCCGTGGGGCACAGCCCTCAAACTTCCACCGGCTCTACCTGCTTTCACGTTCTCATCATTGCCAGCAGCGTGCTCTACCTGTGCTGCTGCACAGTGTATCTCAAGGACCCAGGCTCCCCCGTATCAGTCCACGACACCAGTGCAAACAGTGCCTGAGCGATTTTAGAAACATCTATAGCACGTTAGTAGAGCACTCTTGTCCACTGAGCGTAATGAAATATTTCTTCTCCAGCTAATGCTGCCTGGCTCTTTAAACTCAAGTCCTATGACCTCTCTTTCATGCATTTTTCATCGTAGTTCTGGGCTGAAGTTCTTTGTACTTCTGAGATAATCAATACTAATTGAATACTGAACCATTTAACATTTTATGCAAATGTAAACAATATTTTTTTTGCCTTTGCTAGAAGACAATACCTGAAAGATACTATCAGTTTGGATGAGAGCATGGTGATATCTTGGACTTTTGTGTTGGAATCCAAGAAGAGTTGACTCCCTCTTCTTCACCCCTCAGTCTCCTCTTTTAGTTTCTATTGCTTTGTCATCTGCAGTTAACTGTTTAATCATGTTGTTTTGAAGAAAATGAATAGATGAACAAACTAACCCAAGTTGGACCTAATTTTGAACACATAGATGGATGGGTTCTGTGTAGGAAGGATCTGGTCTCTGCAGATGTCTAATGACTCTTGCGGAGCCAGGGAGCTAAGCATAGGCTCCCTTGGTTCAGTGCTATAAAAGAAGTTATAAGTCACTCAGAAGATATATTTTTTCCTACAGACAAAACTATCACTACCAAAGGAAAATGGAATTAAAGGGGGAAAGCTTTTGAAGGAAATATGTCTAAAAATATCTATCCCATCTCTTTAAAAAGTTGGCTGGAACACCTGGATTTTTCTGAGTGTAATTTTAGTTAGGCAAACATTGAAAAGATATATTTTTCTAAAGAAGGAAAGAGAACTCTCATGGAAAATGATGCTTGGCAGTCCTCTTCAGCAGTAGATCAGTTTTGCAAAAATGATTTTCCTTGTTTTAAAGAATAGGAAAGTGTGAATGCAGTCAGGGCCAAAGACATGTCTGGTCTGATAAAGGTGCCTTCTGCCTCCGCTACCTACATGGCAAAAGGACAGAGCCCATATGTGAAGGTCCTCTGACCTCCATGTGTCATGCAAACACAAACCCATGACAAGTGTCCACACAGAATAAGTAAATTAATAAAATAATAACTCAAACACTAAGGGTGATTGACATCATTATTGCTTACCCCAAAATATTTACCCTTCAGTAGGCCTCTTTGTAGGATACCCATTTAAAAACAGAGACACAGATGGGCATTGTGGGAGCTCTTCTACGCATCGCTTAAGTGTTTGTTTTAATGTGTGCACTAAACAAGCACATTAAAAATGCATCTGGGGTTTATAGCTGTGTGGGTTGTGCTTTATTAGGCTTTAAAAACTGGTGAGCTATCTTAAAAGCATGCAAAACTACATTTTGCATATTCTTAAACCAGCTGCCAGGCAATGGTGCTGACTTTAAGGGATTGGGTTATGGTGGTCAAATGATCCTTGATATATTGAATGGGGACCCAGAAGGAAAATTTTGACAAAATTCTGAGAAGAGTTAGAGGGCATGATTTAACATCTACATAAGCCATTGCTAAACAACTGCAAAAATAGAAGGACATACTCTCTAGTCAGAGAGCAAGGAAAACAGAGAAAAACAAAAGATTTTGGGCCTTGAAATGTAGGTATATATGCACTCAGCACATGGTAATGTATCCTCCAAGTACATATATGAGTCTGAAGAATATCAGTGTCAACATTCCTAGAAGATGTCGGTCACCATCTGTGATGTTGGTCAGAATTGCCTGGCGCAGATGGCTGTCAGGGACCTGGTGAGATCATCAGAATGTCTCATGACTCAAAATTAGATTACATAGGACACTTTAAAACACACTGCAGGAAAGAGTTGAACTTGGGGAAGGCAATAAAAAGATGTCCTATGTCATTCTTTTCCACTTCTGATTGCTCATGCTTTCATGGGGTTTAGAAATAAAATAAAATAAACCTAATAAAATGTAATACTTACAGAGATGCTGCCAGGGCCTAAATTTATGAGAGCTTATGATCAAACATGAACACATTGAATATTCATGGTTCTTGTTACAGTTTGGATCATAATTCTCCCCCACATTCCCAGGTATTGAAGGTATGGTCCCCAGCTCAAGGCATTCCTGTGAGGTACTGGGATTAAGAAGAGGGGGTTAGTAGGAGTTCTTAAGAAATTAGGTCAGGCCGGGCATTGGTGGCACATGCCTTTAATCCCAGCACTTGGGAGACAGAGGCAGGTGAATCTCTGTGAGTTCGAGGCTAGCCTGGTCTACAAAGCAAGTTCCAGGACAAGCTCCAAAATAATACAGAGAAACCCTGTCTCGAAAAACAACAACAGCAACAACAACAACAACAAAAAAGAAATCAGGTCGGGCCTAGAAAGGGTTGGTTTTGGATGATCATCACCGTTCTTCCTAGTTTTGGTTCTCAGCTTTCTCTGCCTTCCCACAAGTCCAAAAGCAATGAGGTCAACCAACTAGTGCCTACATTCTCCAAAACTCTTAGCCAGGGTTAAACTGGCTGGAGACCACTTTTCATTATTACTATCATATGTTCATGCTCAATTATATTAACATTTGTAGTAGAAATGAAGCTTTTTAAAAGTTTTTTTACTATACTAGACAATAGAGTTGGAATTTAAATCTTAAGGACAAATTTACTGATCATTTTAGTTGGTTGTTGTTTGAGATACTCTCGGTGTAACAGCCCTATCTGTTCTGGTCAAAAGAAGTGACACTGAACAATGTTTGAATCAATCTTTCTGCCTTTTTTTCTAGTTCTCTGCATTATAACAAGCCTCTAAAATCTTTGTAACTTTGCCACATATTCAGAATTGAGCTGATGTTTCATTATTGGCTCTCGTACTTCCTATATAGTTCTTCTATCTTATTTCTAGTTAGCTACTACAATTCCAAAGTTCAGTACAATGGACTTTATAGCCAACAAAGTAATCAGAATCTGCAGAGCCTAGCTCCAAGGAGAAAGCAAGAGTTAGCTCCCTGGGTCTGTAGAAGTGTGACGCTGTCTCTCCTCTCCTGAAGAGTTAGAGATTCTGTTGGCCAGATTCTCGAATGTGATTCCATGGGAACGGTGGATCCCATGGGTGGATATGACTGGGTTGGATGCTCTGACATTGGAGCTGTTAGCAGAAGCTGGAAATACTTAGGACAATGTCTGAGTCAGAGGGCTTTGAACTGTGGACTTATTCTAACAGTTGCTTTTAATTAAACCAGCCTGGCCTGCAGGGATTCTGGCAAGTCAGCTGTTCAGAAAGCTCCCATTCTGTGGAAATGTTCTGACCTTCCCAAGATTTTACTCAGCATCTTGGATTTTGTTTTCATTTCCATTTTCAGATTTATAATCGCTTAGATACAAATTGCTGTGGATTCAGACCTCGCAAGGAAGACGCCTGCATACAGAATGGACTGAGGCCAAACTGTGATGACCAAAATTCTGTGACTTTAGCACACATTATCCAGCGAAAAAATGACCCAAGGCATTTGGTCTTCATAAACAATAAGGGTTTCTTTGACAGAAGTGAAGACAACTTAAACTTCAAATTGCTAGAAGGCATCAGAGAGTAAGTTTTTTGTTTGTTGTTCAAGTTCCATCTCATTATTTAGCCTGGACTGTTCTGGAATTCCCTGTATAGCTCAGGCTTTTGTAGAACTCGCTGTCTTCCAATCTGACCTTAAACTTGCAGTCATCCTCCTGTTTCAGCTTTCAGAGGGCTAGAATTACAGGGAGGAGCTGTTACAACCAGAACAAAGAGTACATTTTCCAATGAAGTGACTTCTTAGATGATCACATGTATGTTAAACAACTAGTAACATTTCACAAAAACTCACACCTTATGTCAGATAGATTTCCAAAGGAATTGTGAGTGTGGAGACAGAGACTCAAGGAAGTAAAATAACCTTCCAAAAGCAGCCAGTCCACAATGCCTACCCAGCTCCTACCACATTCTGCCTTAACTGCCTTGCTCAGCCTTCATTGTGAATGCCCATGTGGGTGAAGTTGGACAGATCCAGGGCTATCAGGAGTAGGGATAATTAGGTGGCAGAGGCTGTTACTAAGGTACAGGATTGGACATGGGAAGAACAATAGTGATATCCAAGTCCATAATCAACTATTCGGCACATCAATAGAACTAATAAGCACGGTAGGATGTCAGATTCATGATAAACCCAGCGACTTCTATGAATACAGAAGTCATAGACCTTGGAGCTGGGACTTGAATAAAGGAAGAGCTTCAGGAGGCTAGACGATGAAGAACTCAATATTGGCCAAAAACTCAGAGGTGATCTAAACAATTTGGGAGACGTTTGGTAGAACTTAGAAAGGATAGGGGTAAAGAGAGGTGTGAAGCTCAAGAAGCTGGGTCTGTACTGTGGAAGTAAAAACACGGTGGGTCTCACGGCACACCGATCTCACGCTTTTGTAGACAGAGGAGGTTCAGACTCCTGAGTAACAGGAGCTGGTTGTGAAGTCTGATCAATTCTAGCCCATTTATGTAAGTTGTGACTAAATTTCTTACCAAAGGGATCCACCCTTGTCCATTACCCATTTTCATCAGGATAAGATTCCCTAATGAGGTTAGATTGGAAGCTTAAAAGTCCTTAAGATAGCGTAGCTCCCCAAGAGTCTGGCGACACCAGGGAAACATGCCTATGATTCTGAATTTAATGGTAGAACTCAACTTTTCCAAGCCTGCACTCACTTGCAGTAACTTGTATTTGTGTTATGATGCTATTCCTGTTACTAGGCTGGCATGTGACTCAGGGTGTTCCATACCCAGAGCTCAAACATAAAGCAAACCCAGAAGAAAACAAGAAAGTATAAAACTCACTGATGGTCCTGTCTGCAGTACATTTCAATTGTTTCCCCTTGACTTCATGCTTAGATAATGTGGGTTTTATATACCCTCAATACTGGAAAGCACACTCTTCCTGTAAGTTTTGAGAGTTCCCAGGAGTTTTTTGCTGGTCTTTCCTCTGCTGATTCTCTTCACATCTCTGTGAATTGGAGGCAGAATATGTGGCAAATTCTCCCTTTTAAACGCCTAAGCCAAGGTGAATTTATGTATAGGAAATATGACATTCTCAAGACATCACTTACTGAATTGATACTACAGGGACTTAAATTTCTTTGCAGAATTGAGAGTGCCGGGGGCTTACATCTATCTATCTTAAATGTTCACATAAATGCAAATACTTTCATTTATTCTTTTGAAGAAGATTAAACCTTAAGTTCCTTATGAGGAGTGATGGGTTTAAGGTTAAACCTTCTTTGAATATATAATTCACACATTAAGAGGCAAAAGTTAAGTCTTTGTTAGACTTAGAGTCACACATTGAATATTTCTACTAACATGTGCAATGTAAAAACCAATGTAGAATAATGGTTTGTTTTCTTTTATGAACAGAACCAGTCACTGAAGAGTCTGGAGGTTTTAATACTCTCATGTCATGCATTCTGCCTGACAACCAAGCTAAATTGGTTGAAGGGTTATAGAAACTATAATCTTATGGATATTAATACTTTATACAACTAAATGCTGCTTGGTTAATTCATAACCCATAAGATAGCATGGTACATATCTTTAGGGAACCTGGAACACATAATAAGCCTTATTTAGCTTCACACTTCTGAGAGTTCAAGTTAAGGATGTGGCAAAATATAACCTATGATTTAAATCAGAAATTTTCTAAGATTTCTGCATATACTGTCTATGCTAGACCCTGGCTCTAGTCTTTCTAAATGAAAAGAAGAAAGTTCAGTGAACTCTCTCATGGTGATTCAGCCAGATCCTTCTTAAGTGACCTCAGGATGTCCAATGGGATGTCTTCAAATGTCCTTGCTCTAAAAGTTTACTTTTATTGAATTTATTTGAAAACAATTGCCAGATTTCTGTTACTGAACTAATGTCTGAAGTAATGTCTAATTACAAAATGGGAAGATTTGTCGTGGTTCCCAGCCATAACCACCCCGGCTCAGTTTCTTTGCTCCTTTAATGGCCTTAAATGCCACCACATTTCCATTAACCACATCTGTCCCATTAACCAATGCAAAGTAAAATACAATAGCAGAGTAATGGTTTTGTTTTATTTTATGAACAGGACTTTTATAGTCAAGGATGGGTTGGTCCTTTTCAGCACATGGCCAGGAATTGAAAGATGGAAGAGGAAAGGGTGGAATCCCAGGATACCTTTCAAGGCTTGCCCCAATGACCCTACCCTCCACAATGCCTCACCTCCTAAAAGGATCACCATCTCCTAGTCATAGTACTCTAAAGACTAAATCTTTAATACTTGGACATCTCGGGGGACCTTCAAGATATAAGCTAGAGCAACATTTAATACTCTACCTAAGATAAACACTGGCCTTTTCCCCATCCATTCTGTCATGTCTATTGTTACTGTTCTTACTCAGCTCATATCATGTTGGTGAGATATTTTGGGTACAAACTCCCTGATCTTCTGGGCCTTGTAATCTTTCCATTCTCTCTTTTGTAACATTTTCTGAACCTTAGGTGTGGGAGTGTTTTATAGATAATCCATTAGGATGGTGCTATACAACTCCATGAGGCCTCAACCCTACACAAACAACTGCAGGCAACTAAGGGATGCTAAGAGCCAGAGAAATAGTCTTATCCAGGGAAGAGCACACCAATTGGTTATCTATAACTAAATAGTCAGCCTTGAAAGCACACACAAACAGCATATAGACTAGGCAGATCTTATTTAAGACTATATATGTATGTACACACATATTTATGTAATAACAATGAAAAAGAGGCTATGAATTTGAAAGAGATCAAGGAGGGATATATGAGAGGATTTAGAGGGAAGAAAGGGAAGGGGGAATGATTATATTATCATCTCAAAAATAAAAAAATAATTAAAAAAGGAAAACACTGACAATCACTCACTCCAATTTCAAAGGTATAACCTGAATCAAAGGGAATTCTTCCTCTAATTGAGTTTTAAAAAATTTTCTCTTTTGTTCTATTACAAGTTTGAGATCATTGCACTTTAAACTCTAGGTTTTGTTCAGGGAGGATACTCCACTGAACCCACACATGTTCTGGTTCCCACATTTTCTTTCATCAAACCCCACCTTGTTACTGATGATAGCAGATAAAAAGCTTCTGTAGGACACATGGAGCTTAAGATGAAGGGAGATGCTTCTTCAGACCTAATGTAATCTTAATTCTGTGCCTCTCTTTGTCAGTCTGTAACAACCTTTAAGTAAGAAATTAGGCTGTCACGTTCTGAATGGTTTAGATAATTTGGTTCATTCCAAACACATTTTCTTGCATTTTACTTTTAAGAGAGGTGTCTGCTTGTCATGACAAAAACATTTGGTTTTCAAGGTCCTATATGATAGTGAGTTATGCCAGATTAATGAAGGCAGACCAACTAGGAGAAGGAATCGTATTTCTGAGCATTTGCTGAGAATGAAATACTGTGTTATCATTTCAGGTTTCCTGACTCTGCAGTTTCTGTTCTGAAGAGCCAGCACTTACGGCAGAAGCTCCTTCAGTCACTGTTCCTTGACAAGGTTTACTGGGAGAGTCAAGGAGGCAGGCAAGGCATTGAGAAGCTCATTGATGTTGTAGAGCAGAGAGCCAGAATCCTTGTCACCTACATCAATGCACATGGCGTCAAAGTATTACCTATGAACGAATGACATAGGACTTCCTGTCTCAAGGGCTATACGTGTGTGACTTTTGGTTTTTCTTAAGAAAGTATATTAATCTTAACTGTTTCTAGGAGTGAGGCAAAATAGTTGAATACACAAAACTAACCCAATATATATCATGAACCGAGTTTTAAAAGTTTGCAGAGTTTAAATGTATGCAGATTCCAGAAGTGTTGGAATAACATACTGCTTGCAAAATGCCGGATGATATTTTTTTGCCTAACACTTTGGCATGTGTATCTCAGCATTGTTATTACACATTGGCCCCAATTATTATTCCCACTAATGTTAAAACCATTTTTATCCATTTGATGGAGCGATCTAAACCAGAGGCATTGACTCTTTTCAGAAACTGTTGTCATGCCATTTGGCTGATTGGCCAACTCCTAGAAGAGAGCTAATTGACATTTTCCTGATGCTGATCATTACAAAAGTTTTTCCAACCCTATCCAGAAGCAATCTTACACCAGAAAACTGAGGCATGGGCCTTGAAACACTTTCTAAGTAGACATAGTAGTGGATTCATTTACAAACCACTATTGTGTTTTCTAGAGTCTATAAACAGTCAGCTATCTCTGATCAACCAAAATCTCATGTCCATTCCTTTTAAGAAATTTACTGTTGGTATAGAAATATCCATATGTAATGATAGATTAGTAGTTTACTTTGCTCTGTTAATTTTGATTCAATTTATGTCTGGTGGTTAGAAAACCAAATAGTTATAAGGCATGTTGTTACTAATTTGAAAATTTATTTTGTGGAGTCTCTTAATGTTCTTATGGGTTGGTTGGTTGCCTTTAAAAAAATTATAAGATCTCATATAGTCCAGGCTGGCTTTGAACTCCTTATGTATCTGAGGATGGCCTTGGTCTTCTGATGCCCCATCTCCCAAGTGCTGGAATTACAAATGTGTGCTGCCACGCCCAGTAGTGCTTGAGATCAAACTCGGGGCTTTATTCTTGCTATATAGGTGCTGTATGACTAAGCCCTTAGCCCCAGTCCCTTTTTATGATTGTTTAGCAAATTGTCATTTTATAAAGGATATGCTATAATTTTTGTAGATTTTTTAAATTATAGAACACTTCTTTTGTGTAATTAGGTTTCATCTGATTTAACTGATGTTGTCCAGGCATTGATGAGGCATTGATCTACTTAGTTCAGATATTAAATATGTTATGTAGATCAATTCAATATGAGAAGTTTCAATGAAACCCAACCCACGTGACTGGATCTTTTCAAGAAAAAAACACATGACTAGAGAACATGTGGCAACAAATTGGGCATAATTAAGTCTCAAACAATTCTCTCCCAAATTCCTCTACCAACTTTTTAGATGGATTGGAAGGACTGAGGCATGCAGTGTTCATACTCTGAATCTTCCTGTCCTTGGGAGATCTGCAAGATCATCACATATCCTACTTATATGGAAATGATTTCTCTCTCACGTTTAGCTCTCCTACCTGTTATTGAACAGCAGATTGATTAGCCAGATGTGGTGATGTATACCTGAATTCCCAGCACCCAGGAAGCTGTGGAAGGAGGATTACAAGTTTGAGTCAGTCTGGTCCACATAGTGATATCCTGTCTGAAGTGTACCCCTGCCTTCGTAGAAGCTGATTTTCTTTCTTTGGAAACTTAAAAATAAAAAAGTTACACATTTTATTGTATTTGTTTTGTTTTGTCTTCTCTCTCTCTTTTTTTAGTTGTTGTTCCTAACAGGCACAGCATTTTCTGTATTCTGACGAAGAATAATTTAGTACAGTGAACTGAAAAAAAAACAATAACAGCAATCTAGGTAACATCAGAGAAGGAAAACATTTATATAGATTATAATGGAGGATACAAACAGACCAAGTTATGATAATAGTATTCTAACTATAACAACAGACAGACCAAGGGGAGAGGCAGCCTCTGGCACACTCATTTCTGCTTTTCAAGGCTCATGTCCAAGCACTGCAATTGTCATCATACGTGTTTCCTTTCCCTTGGAGTGTTGACCTTTGTCACATTCTCTTGAGTCCCTCCACTGTAACCTGAGTGGGACTCTGATCCTGGTGAGTTCCCATGTTGGCTTCTGTCTATGAGTTTTATCTCATTAATCATCCTCTTAACTATCCTTGTAAACACTTGTGCAGCCCCTCTCAACTCAAAATTTAAAAAAATTTCTGCCAAATTGTCTCATGCCTTATCAAGATGACCTACATTCATTTCAATAGTTTTTTATTATTTTATTATTCCTTCCATGAATCTGAAGCTACATTGCCACTGGGCAGCCTGCCCTTCCAAAGGTGGATGGGACTGTACTTTGCCTAGTTATCTCAATGTGCTTAATCGTAAACAGAAGGTTCAAGAACACTGACTATTTACATCATTTACCTTTTAATGATTTAGTCTTACTTTTTATCTGTATTTTGCATGTGTATACACATGCATTTGTATGCAGTACTCATGACGGCCAGAAGAAGGCGCGAGAAACTTTGGAGCAGTTGTGAACTACCTGACTTCCGTTCTAGGAACTGAACTGAGGTCCTTTGGAAGAGCAATGAGTTGCCCTTAACGGCTGAGCATCTCAGCAGCCCTTATAGTCACCTTGTAACAATGTATTTTGTTCTGTAAACAGTGACTAATTAATAGTTAGTTTTGAATAATAGCTGCAAACCAGCCTTTGAGTTCTAATAAGTAGAATTCTTGCTTTATTGAAATGATGAGAATGTTTTGTGCACTTCAGATGTGCTCAAATTCTACTGTGATTTGGTTTGCATTAGCTGATTATGTAGTTTGTTTGTTCTGTTATAACAGATTTAAAATAGAAGAATTTACCTTGGCTCACATACAAGATTTTATTCTCCTGTGACATGTTTTTGTTTTTAGCAGTTAGGAAAATGCACATGTATCTTACATTCAGTAATAAAATGTTAGAAATTAAAGTTGTGGGTTATTTTTTGTATATATACACGAGTTTTCAAAGGCTATCAGGTCTCTCTGCTTTATATTGTTCTTTGTTAGAATGACCAGATATTCTATTTAAACTGAAAAACAGAACCAACAATGCTTGTTTGTTGGGGAGGACTGTGAAAAAAGAGACAATTTAACGGCCAAGATGTCTGCCCAGATCATGTGTGCATGCATTTGATGTCATAATTCATGATCACTATGCTTTCTTTTTCTTGGTGTTCATAAGCATTACATTATGGGATTGGTAAAAAAATTAGTCAACAGACACAATACATCTCAGGAAGAAATTTAATTTTTGGTTAACTTTCCATGGTTCTCATGAACCTGATAGTATGCTTAAAGTCTCCCTCCTGTTATTTATATTTAATAAATTTGTTAAGTTACATCAAAATGTAAAATATCTTAGGCTTATTCTTAAATATTTATATCTCTATACTTGAATAATAATGTGCTTATTCTACTATACCTTTAAATATGCATTACATTAAATGTAACGAATAAAATATCTAGATAGAAATTTATTTGCACATTGTCTTATGAAACACTAATGTCTATTTGAACACAGACTTAGGTAAGTCACATTTAATGTATAGTCTGAAAAAATACTGAAATTATATATGGACCAAATGAAAATTAATTTATATATATTTTTTTGAAAAATTAAAAATATAGTTAAGAATCAGGCTATGGGAGTCAAAGGTACTCATCAGCCTGTAGCACAATGATGTTTTGAATTCAAGTCATTGGAGTCATCTCACTGGAGAACACAGTAAGCACCCTGGGTGCTTTTACCCAGGTTGACTACTCTCCACTGATGTTTTATAGAAGGAATGATGGCATGTACTTGGAATCGCAGTATTTAAAAGTTGAATCAAAGTCACTTAAACTTTGAACCAGCTTGGACTACAGTGAGACCCTATTTCAAAAACAAATGAAGAACAAAACAGAGTATCAAAATACAAGAACTCTCATTTTGTGAGAAAGATTTTGACTTGTCAAAAAAACTTATCTGAAATTTGGAATAGCCTGTTGGGGGAAGTCCTGTGCATTTGTCAATAAAGTACTGTTGAGCCAATAGGAAACCTAGATAGGAGGGACTAGGAGTCCGGGAGGACTCTGGGAAGGAGAAACAGGAGGAGTCGACATGTAACCGCCATGGGGTAGGAAGCCCAGAACTATTCTCCGGTAAGAGAAATACTTAGATTAACAATTATGGGGTAATTACTTAAGTCAGAGCTAGCCAGTAAGAAACAAGCAAGGCCAACAGCTTCATAATGAATATAGCCTCCTGTGTGTTTATTTGGGGACTACAATGTAGCAGAGCCCAGGCAACTGGCGGGTGATAAACCAAAGCAGCTAGCAAGAAAAAGCTTCTCTTAACAATAGCCTGATGTGATTTTGGCATAGTTTTACAATTGTTGAGCTTAATTTTCTACTGAATGGTTGTTGAGCAGGGTTTTAGGAAAGAGATTACTGTATAGATTCCTCTTCCATAGAAATACAATTTTTTTTGTGTGTGGGAGAAACAACCTTAATAGTTAAAATTTGTTACCAAGTGGTATACTAACTGGTTTTATATCTACTCCAACTATCATATAACATTGCTTATAAAGATTTAGCTTTGAAAGTATTTTTAAATGAATTTATCATTGTAGTAATGCTGTAATTATTTTAATAAGGTCCTTTATACATATTTACATTTATAATCTCCTAAGAATCCATTTTATCTTTTGGAAAATTTTGCTTTAATAAACTTCTAACTACTGTTGTATATTTTTATCTGTTTGAAAGTTATTATTTTAATTTTTTGAAAAGCTCACTTAACCAAACTTTTAAGACATACTGATAAAATTTTATAACCGAATGGTTTCATGGATTTAGCATTTATTCAACTCTTACTTAACATGAGAATAAACATCTAATGAAATAAAGTGACTTAATTTGCTTTATTCTAGGAAAATGGTTGGTCTAGATTCCTCACTATTCTGATGTGGAAAGAGTCAGAGTGCCAGTAAATGTCATTGTACAAATACATAGCAAGGAATCATACATAACAGGAAATCTCAATTTGCAGATCCTGAGTATCTGTGGGTCTGAGAGTCCACTGAAATTGTGGGCAGAACTATTGAAAAGGCTAGTTTCAATAGCTCCACAAAGTAATCCAGAGATCAAAACTTTTAAACGCTAGTCTTGCAACACATAACACAAGTGAAGGAAGTTTTTACTGGCATTCAATGGTCCTGCCTATAGTTTCAGTGGACTCTCAGACCCATAAATACCCAATTATTAATGGTCTACAGTCTCCGAGGGTTAAGTGCTTTCTTTGAAGCAAAATAAAGAGGGTAAGAAGTTATATTACATATAATAAGATCATAACTTAACAGAGCAAAATAATTAGTAAGTCTTAAATATTTTTAGTCCACACCATCAGTTCCCAATCCACTGACACCAATTGTAGAATGTCATTTACATTTATTTACTCCTTTAATTTATTAAATTCCATTTCATGATTTATTTGCTCTTATGTAAAACAAAGCAAAACATGGCCTATTTTAGAGTAGGAGAGAAGCTAAGTTAATGTGTGGTATTAAGATAAGCTACTTGACTATTACTCAATAGTTTACTGAACATTAGTAATGTTCCAACATTAATAAAAAAATGTCCTAAACAAATTAGAGAGCTTTTGCCAATGGAGTTATTTCTTGACATTGCAAAAAGTTTTAAAGCCATGTGACCTGCGCCTTTGACTTTCAGAGTCATTGGGCTTCCTGCGTCTGTCACCTTTGCCCCTTTCCTGTTCACACACAGCTGCCTTATGTCAGAATATGGCATCTTCCCTACTTTTTAAGCTCTTCAGTCCTCTGGGATGGGGCTCTGCTGTAAGAAAGGCCTGACTCAGAGTTGCTGGCAGTCGATTGCAGAGCCTAAAATGCACATGCTGGGTAAATGAACCACAGAGAGCCTCCCCTGTCAGGGCACTGTGTGCGATCAATGCAACAGTTCTTTGCCTTGTGGGAAGGTTGGGTACCTCTTGACTGTCCCTTCTAGAATGCATTTACTTTGATAAAAGGATAGGAAGGAGTGCACTAAGTAATCCGCATTTCTTAACAGTACTCGTCAGGACGTCCTAAAGCTTTGTGGCACAAAGCTGAAAACTGAAGCCAGCCTCCCAGTCCATGTGCGGAAGAGCAGGCTGCCCCTCTAGTTCAGCAGACAAGATGGGGCTCTGGGACAGAAACTGGTCTACAACCCAGACTGAAAACTGAGTTTGCAGGTCGGCCAACAGTTTCCTTACATCCAAGAAAACAGACATTTGTTTATAAATTTGGTTTATAAATTGTCATATATAATTGGCTCAACTTCTATTTGAGAGAATAAGACACTTGGATGTTAATCTCAGGAGTATTAGACATTGAGTGAGGTCAATGCATTGTTTTTTGTTTTGTTTTGTTTTTAGTCTTTGTAGCATTTTAATAACAACAAAATATGATCCAGATATTCTTTCTAAATTGGTGAGACTATGTTATGATTAAGCTTGTAAGTCTCAGATAATTTTAAAGAGAGGAAAGGAATAATTTGTAGCTTTCTCCATGAGGGACTCAATATCAATCTCTTTTAATCAGTTAGCATGACAGTTACAATGTGAGACAGCCCCAAATGTTCTGACAGCTATTGTGACAGTACTAATTGTTTGCTAGTATTGTG